GAAAAAGTTACCAAAAATGCGAAGGTGAAGTTCTTGTGGGACTTTCGAATACAGACGGATCATCATTTGGAACACAACATGCCAGATATCACGGTTGTAGAGGGCTGAAACGTACAATTTATTGACATCGCGATACCAGGAGATGCCAGAGTTGAAGAAAAAGAACTGGAAAAAATGACAAAATACTGCGACCTGGCCATTGAAACTACCTGATTATGGATGAAACATGTAACAGTGATACCCATTGTCATCGGAGCACTTGATACCATGTCCAAGAATTTTATAAGACACACCAACAAATTGCAGCTTCCTGCAATAAAACCAGCGGAACTGCAAAAAACTGCGCTACTTGGAACATTGTATATTTTAAGAAGGTACTTGGTTGATACCTAGGACTCTGGCAGCAACCTGTATCAACCATTAGCACCAGTCAATGGTATTTGTGATGCATTTTTGAATGTTCAGTTGCCCGAGTTTCATGTTTAATGAATAAAGTATAATAACTACTATTAATATTAATGTTTGCTTATATGTAATACAACTTCTTGCATTATTTTCTTATATATAGTATTAATCTTTCAACTTCTAGTTACCACCTCTTTTATCCAACCATTGATAGAACATATCCCATGTTAGAAAATATTCTGTTTCTTCCTTATCCTTTATAATAATAATCTGTAGGCGTGTCTTCATTTTTCCAATATTGTGCAAATACAATTGCTGCTGTCAACACATGTATTATTAAATATGTAGTCCCTTTATTATAGTTTTCTGGTAATATACCTAACAAAAATATTTCTGGTTTTATATCTATGTGCTGTTTTATCATTTTCTCTAACCATGTATGTATTCTCATCCAGAATTTTTTTGCTTTTGGACAAGTCCACCACATATGATAGTAGTGTTGCAGAAAATGACAGGCTTTAGACTTCTCAGGATACAGGAAAANGGGCAGGGTCATGCCATTGCAAGCAGCGGCAAGCTTCGTGAGGGTCTTGCCCACCTGGCGGGCCCTGCCACTCGCTGCACCGGCCACGGCTCCCCCGGCAGAGGCGGCCCTCGCATGGAAGTGAGCCATGGTGGCCCCTGCAAGAGCCGCCATGGAGGACACTCCTGCAGGCCCTGGCCTGGCGCCCTCCAAGCTCCCCACAACGGGCAGCCTCCGGAACGGCGGGCTGTATGGGGCCCCTCCGGACATGGGCGGGGGGACCCAAGTGTGGGAGGGAGGCTGGGGGTGTCCCCCATGGGCGTAGTGGGGCGGCGGGTGGGCGCTGCCATTGGTCAGGCCTCGGGGCTGCTGGGCCGAGCGAGGCTGTTTGAGGGAGATGGCACTGGGGCGGTCGGCTTTGTGGAAGTTGTTGAGCGTCTCCTCGGAGGAGCTGCGCTCGGGCTCCCTCAAGTCGGTGGCCTGGGAGAGCGAGATGTCCAGGGTCTCGGAGGAGGAGAAGTCCTCAGTGTGCGACTTGTCCAGGTTGTCGTAGCTCTCTGTGTCTTCGGCGATGCTGTTGTTGGAGCTGAGGCTGGCCAAGATCTGCGCAGGGGTCATGCTGGTGATCTGGAAGCTGCTCTTCTTCAACTGGGCACCCGCCGGACCCCTGATGCTTCCTCCTCTCTGTGAGAGCAGCGCCAGGCTCTGCGGCAGAGGTGCCCCGTGAGGGCAGGAGGAGACGGAGGCAGCAGCAGAGGCCGAGGGTGGTGGCGGAGGCCGGGGGAGGCGGCGTTGGCTGGGCCAGCAGGCCGGGCAGTCCTCCAAGCTGGCGCTGCTGCTGGCCCACTGAGGCAGCATTGCGGGCTGCGCCATCTTCTTCCTCTCCCGTGCCTCCGCCACTGAGTCAGGCTGCTGCTGCTGTAGCTGCTGCTGCATTGGGGCCGGCGGGAGAAAGGCCCGACACAGCCACTGACAGCGACGACGCCTCCCTCAGGCGCCGGCCGGGCTGAGGAGGAGAGGAGGAGGAGGCGGCCACCGCCGCCCCCAACCCAGCTTTCCTCAGCTGCGGTGGCGAGAGGAGGTGACTGGCATCCCCTGAGGAGGAGGAGGAAGGAGCAGCCCCTGGCGACGTGGACTTGAGGCAGCCCCCACCAGTCACGACCTCATCCAGAGATGCAGCCACCCTCACGGGGCACCCAGCAGCCGCCCCAGCCTCGCTGCGCCTCAGGCTGACACCGCCGCCACCGCCCCGTCGGAGCCGCCTTGGCAAGGCTGTAGCTGGCTCGCTGTGAGGGAGGGTGGAGAGCGTGCACGGCCGGCTGGGCTGAGGAGACGCTCCGCCTCTGCCTCCTCTGGAGCTCCGTTGGGCTGGGCGGGGGGAGGCCGACTTAAGGGCAGGGGGGGGTGGCTGAGGCCCCACTGTAGACAGCGAAGGCACGGTGGGAGTGGAGGGGGAGGCCGAAGCTCGTCGGAGGAGGGACAGAAAGGGGAAAGGGTGCAGCCGCAGCACAGCCACACATATAAAGGGACCATCCGGACAAAGCTGGAGAGGCTGAACTGAGAATATACTATACTCACAAAATGAATGCTATGGTAAACAACACAGCTCAATTCCAACCCAATGTCACACGAAATAATTAAATCAAAATGAAAATAAATCAAAATCTATGAAAATTCAATATAACAATGCAATCGGAAACATTGAAATGAAATCATGAAATATTTAGTATAGCGCGTGTTGCTTTTACGTCCACCAGATGGCGCTGGAAACATTGAAATGGAATCATGAAATATTTAGTATAGCATGTGTTCCTTTTACGTCCACCAGATGGTGCTGGAAACATTGAAATGGAATCATGAAATATTTAGTATAGCGTGTGTTGCTTTTACGTCCACCAGATGGTGCTGGAAACATTGAAATGGAATCATGAAATATTTAGTATAGCGTGTGTTGCTTTTACGTCCACCAGATGGTGCTGGAAACATTGAAATGGAATCATGAAATATTTAGTATAGCGTGTGTTGCTTTTACGTCCACCAGATGGTGCTGGTTTTTA